CCCTCCCTCCCTCCCTCCCTCCCTCCCTAGAACTGTTTCTAAGTTGTGAGATTTGATGATGTGTTTGTTTCAAAGATTTATACTTATGGAGTAGAGGGCTAGACTCTGCAGCTCTTGGAGGCCATAAGAGGGCATGTTGTATCCCCTGGAACTGGAGTTAGGGATGGTTGTGAAATATCTCATGTTGATGCTAGGAACTGAACCTGGGTCCTCCGCAAGGCCAACGAGTGCCTCTTAACTGCACACCCAGCTCTCTAGGCCTTCCAACTGCTTTTTAAATTCTGTTAAGAGTTAGAATAAGCCTAGTAGGGAAATGAGGAACTTGACTATGTCAACTTATTAAACGAAAAGTTGAGGGGTAGGCTAGTGTTATTTCCACATATTGCCTGTTGTCACCAATTCTAATTTCTGTTTACTCTCTTCCCCCCTCCCCCCTCCTTTTAGCTTGCAAAACTCATGTCAGAATTAGAAAGCTTCCCTGGCATATTCTCTGGAAGACGGTCCCTCCCAGGCCACAGAAGCAAGGATGTAAGTGCTTCTTTCTATACTGTTACGGACAAGACCAGAGCAGATCTCTGAGATTTTCGGATCTTAGATTGGGGGAGACTAGGAATGGGTCCTTGAAGCTCCTGATGCTCTTTGCATCTTGAACACTGGCTGTGCTATCCTACAGCCACGCTCCTTCTGATCGTCTCTCTTCTCTCCATTAGCAGCAAACAAGATAGATGACTTATTTCTGTTCTCCGAAGTAGCACATCCCCCCCATACACATGCTAGATACAAAGTAGGTATTTTTAAGAACAGATTGAGGGAAAAGAAAGTATACATAATCTCTTTGTTAAGTCATATTTTAATAATGATATTTGATTGTATCCCAACGGACTAAGCTGGTATGACTGAGGATGGGTAATTTGTTGTGTTGGCTATGACAGAAAAGAAAGGCCTGCATTTCCCTGTTTTCCCCCTAGGGAGGCAGGCTGGAAGCCAGCAAGGAATAGGAACAAGAAACGTGGCATTCTTAGCTTATACAGAGGTAGCATATGTATTCCAGGAGTGTAGAGATGTTATGAGAAAGTTTTTTGGGTCAGGGGCCTGGGTGTTGCAAATTCTGTATCTAGAGTAGAAGAGTAAATGGTACAAGAATTAAATAAAAGAATAAATAAAAGTCACACTGGCTACATGGGGTTTGTTTTCCACACATAATGAAAAAGGCATAGAAAATAGGAAAATGGGCCTCTTCTTGTACTAAAACTACTTAGGGGAAGTTGCAGGTTCCCCAGAGTGCTGGTTCTCTCTGTTACAGAGTAAGTGGATCTGTCTTGTGTTTCATTCACCAGGCAAAGTCACCTAGAAGACGCACTTTCCCAGGTGTGGCTTCCCGAAGGAACCCGGAACGGAGGGCTCGTCCTCTTACCAGGTCAAGGTCCCGCATCCTGGGGTCCTTGGGTACTCTGCCCACAGAGGAAGAGGACGAAGAAGAGGAAGAAGAAGAGGATAAGTACATGCTGGTGAGGAGGAGGAAGTCCATGGACGGCTATTTGAACGTGAGTCCTCACTGAAAGTCTTTTTATGTTGTCCATCTCCAGAAAGCTTGGCATTGCGAACACAGTCTCAGACCATTCCAAGTCATTAATGCTACACAAACGTATGTAGTGTTGTTAGTGGGCAAGAGTCAGATTTTCAGTTCCTCAGTATTATAGGAATTATTTTTATACTTTTGGCTAGTTATTCTCACATTAAACTTACGGCCTGCCTACCTCTCTCCATGAGTAAGAAAGATTTCCCAGATTGAATTTTCTGTGAGACATTTCAAATGAGGCATCTTGAGATTTAGGAATGCATAGAGCTGGAAAGGAACTCAGTTTGTGATTCTTATTCAGGATGATGATGTGCCCAGAAGTCGTCGCCCTGGATCCATGACGCTTCCACATATAATTCGACCAGTAGAAGAAGTCACAGAGGAAGAGATTAGGAACATCTGCAGCAACTCTCGAGAGAAGATTTATAACCGATCACTGGTGAGTGCCCTGAGGTTACATATAGAAACAGAAACACCGGCAGAGGACAGATAGTATCTGTCCAGAGATCTAGGCTTTTTTTTTTTTTTTTTTTTTTTTTTTTGTTTTTTTTGAGACAGGGTTTCTCTGTGTAGCCCTGGCTGTCCTGGAACTCACTCTGTAGACCAGGCTGGCTTAGAACTCAGGAATCCGCTTGCCTCTGCCTCCCAAGTGCTGGGATTAAAGGCGTGCGCCACCACTGCCCGGCTGGTCTAGGCATTCTTAACTACACATTTCTTTTTCATACAAGAGAAAGAGTTTTACAGAATGGGATCAAATTATCTGTATAGGAGGTCTACAGTAGGGTTATATACATATATTTTCTTTTTTAATTTGGAAGTTGATTCATTCAACTGGGATTTACTGTGTATTGTTAGGGTGAACATATTGATAGTTGCTGAGAATGCAGGAGAGAGCCAGAGATGAAAAATGGCTTTGGATGGGGTTTTCATTTTCCCATGCTGGAGATCAAACTCGGGGTCTCGAATGGGTTAAGCAGGTATTCTGGCACTGAGCACTGAGTTATTCCCCCACTTCCGGAATGGTTTTGACGATACTGTTGCACCACCAATGGAGTGGGAAGCCTTGCTTGAGATATTTTTCATCCATGCATACATAGGTGTCAAGTGACCTTCAAAGACTGTTTTGACCAGTGGATGCTCTCTGTTTTCCTCTACAAAAGGCAACGTTTGCTTCTTCTCTCATCTGCTCCTCCTTTTAGGGTTCTACATGTCATCAGTGTCGCCAGAAAACCATTGACACCAAAACCAACTGCCGAAACCCAGACTGCTGGGGCATCCGGGGCCAGTTCTGTGGTCCCTGCCTTCGAAACCGCTATGGCGAAGAGGTCAAGGATGCTCTGCTGGATCCGGTAGGTGCCTGAGATATTTGGGGAGGGGCTTGAGCTCTTGGTGTCAGGAGACCGCAGGGTGATGCTGCATGAATATAACCGTCTGGAGAGCTCGTGGCTGCTGCCCAGAGCAGTTGATCCCTTCTTCCTTGGTGATGGTTGTGGTACTTTCTTTAACAGTATTTTATGGGCCTAGGCAAATGCTCTCATACTGTACCATACTCCATTTTATGATTTGGTTATTTAAAAAAAAAAAATCACAGGTTAAATGGCATAATACTGAGTTCTTTAAAGACTAAGAAACCTAAACAAATGGGTGGAGGGAGCGTGAGGCCTAGCCTCAGAGTGCTTTCCCACAATTCTTCAGAACTGGCACTGCCCACCTTGTCGAGGAATTTGCAACTGCAGCTTCTGCCGCCAGCGTGATGGACGGTGCGCCACTGGAGTCCTTGTGTATTTAGCAAAGTACCACGGCTTCGGGAATGTTCATGCTTACTTGAAAAGGTAATAGCCTTTTCATTTCTCTTTCACATCTGAATCTTCCATTCATTTATGAGCCTTGATAAAAGGTGATAGAAGTCTGAGTGGCTGGTCTGGGGCAGGGAACCGTTATTGGAAATGCATTTTCAGGGTGGGGAATGTATGTAAACTTAAGTGTGTGTCTAAGACCTGCATTGACAGTATACAGTAGGGCTCCATGAAGACATTTTTTAAAGAAAGGGATTGGACTTTCTAGAGAGAATTAATGACTGAAAACCGTCTTGACGTCCTCCCCTTTGTCTTTCACAGTCTGAAGCAGGAATTTGAAATGCAAGCCTAGAGCCTGAAGATTGTCTGCCTTTGGCCTCTGAAGGCTCTCTTGGTCCTGACGTTGTCGTTGATGGAAACCTGAGTAAGAATCTTGGCCATCAGTCTGTCTTAGAACTCAGTCGGGTTGATCTTGTAGCTCACACTTGTTTCTGAAGCATCTTGAAAATGCACACCGCTCATTACATTTCAGCGATATGTAGTGTCTCAGAGCTTGCCCCGGCCCCTCCTCCTCGTAGCCTCCCTGTCTTTTGCCACCGCTTAGATTCTGAGCTATCTTTAAGCGGCAGTTTGAGAATTTGTTTGATCAGGACGTACCCAGGCACTTTGGAGTACAGTAGTGTATTATAAAGCAACGGTTGTGATGAATTGCAGAGAACGGCCCTTTAACTTGTTTACACAGAATCAACGTATATGGTTTAGTATCTAGTGTTTATATTGGCTGATGTTTTAAGTGGAAAGGCCAAGGCACAAAGGGGTGGAAACCGTGTGGAAAAATTAGGTAGTTGTAAAGTGGAGTGTGGCCACATTGAATGGCTTACTGGAGAAATCCAGCTCCTAGGTGCTGTGCTCAGTGTACACCTTGTCACAGTTGACACAGTTGCTGCTGTCCTCTGGCTTACACAGTCACCCAAAGGTTTGTGATAATGTGGTACCATAATTACTTAAATTGCTGTAGAAGAGGCATTCTGGGAAATTAAGATGACGGCGCTGCAACGGGCTGATTTGAAATCTTGGTGTTCTGCTTCAGAAACTTAAGTTTAATAACGTTACTTTAGATCCTGGCAGTTTCCTGAAGAGGTAACCCTGGGGGTTGTGTTCAGGGTTTCTGTTTCGGTTTTAAACACTTTTGGAACAATGAGAAATGACCTTTTAGCGATGGGTAGCTTTGAACTACTGTTAACGAGTTACCTCTGCCAGTCTAGTTTATGGGCAGGTGCCTTGAGTCACCCTCCCTCCCCTTTCCCTGTAGGTGGGTCATTCGGTACTGGTGACTAAGTGACTGATTCCCTCACCTGTGTAGCCTGTTGCTGTGTCCACTCTTTCTGTGATGCTCAATTGGATCTTGAATCGTTCAGTGTAAATACAGCTTTTTGCTCTGTAATGCTTTTATACAAAGGTTTTTATTTTAATAATAAAACATTTTGTTCTAACTCGTGTGTTTATTTTTGTTTAAAACAGTTTCAATGTTACTTTTTCCCCTTGTGCTTTGCAAGGGCATTTTTGCCTCTCCTAAAACTTTCCTTAGATTAAGTTTCTGAGGCCCACAGCCAGCACTTTTATACAGGGTCTCATTTGCTGATATGGCTCTTAGCTGGAGTCTCAAAGTGGATGAGACAGCCACGTTAGACACAATGTGCGCCCGGGGAAGTTTTATGTTATTTTTCCTTTATCGTTTGCAACCTGTTGTTCACAGTACTTGAATGCTTTTATCTACTTTTCAAATACTTACTAAATGTGTGCCATGCCTTGAGGTTTCAAAACTGAGAACTAGAAGACACAAAACGCAAAGTCTATAGATAATATTTTCATTTATATGCTTGCATGGGTGTATTTATGCACACGTATGTGCAGATGCCCTCAGGAAGCCAGAAGAAGGTGTTGAGTCCTGTGGAGCTCAAGTTATAGGCAGTTGTGAACCACCAGATGTGGGTGCTGGGAACTGAATCCTGTCCTTGGAGATCAGCAAGCATTCCTAACTGCTGAGCCATACAGCCTCCTGTAGCTCTTATAACTAAATTTCTGTCCAGGGCTGGCTAACTACAGTCTGCATGTCATATCCAACTACATATACCTTTTTACAATTGTAAAGGAGTTTTGTTTCCTTTCAAAAGCATGACAGGCTGGAGAGATGGCTCGGTAATTAAGAGTACTTACTGCACTTGGGAGTACCCAGCACCAATATGGTGGTAGTTCACAACCATCCATAGCTGGATACAGTGCCCTCTTGAACTTAGGCACCAGGCATACATGTGGTACACTGACATCAATAAACACTCAAGTATGCAACAGTATGACGGTATAAGCCACAAACCTAACATATACTAGCTTGGCACTTTATAGGAAAAAAAGCCAGTACCCTGTTTATACCATACTTTGATGGGAAGCCATGACTCTCTGGTCCACACTTAGGAAGGACCAAGCTGAAAGTTGTTTACCTTGTACATGGATTCAAAAGAAGTCAGTTGTTAGAAATCAAGTCTTAGCATCATAGGAAACCAAACTGTAATTCCCCTGTTGTGTATGTAAATTGAGCTTAAATGCTAGAGTTCATATAAATTGGTTTGTTTAAAATTTATGGGAGCTAATTGGTTGAACCCAGCGTCTTCCACATGCTCTTCTGAGCTATACCCCCAAGTGATCTGCATACTTTTTGACAACAATATAAGTGATATGATTTTCCTTTAAAATAATTAACTGCAACAGTTCATTGTGACACCTTATCCTTAAAGGACCATGTGGTCTAGTAGAGAAACTACTGGGAAAAAAACCTACAAATAATGTCCTCTGTGAGAACTAAAGAGAGGAAGACATTAGTATTTTTTTATTTCTAGGCAATTTCAGTAATAGATGCTCTCTTCCCGCTTTTTGAGATAGGGACTTGGTATGTTGTTGTCCAGGCTAGTCCTAAACCCTGGAAGAGGGATTTAAATTTTACTTAAGCTGATGAGCTCACCTTAGGAACAAAAAAGCCTAGAAGATAATTAGGTTCCATCTGGAGAGGAGACTGAGTGCTGTGTCAAGCCCAGCTGAGAGCATGCTGGGAAGAGGTGGAGGCTCATTAGGATCAGGGCCTTTATTGGATGTAAAGGCTCAGGAGAATGAGCGCATTGGGTGATGGAAACCCAGGGTGTTGGAGCATCTGCATCAGAAACAAGCTTTAGGTGCATGGGTGGAAATCCTGTAAATAAGAGAAGGCTAGAATAGGGAAAGAGGAAGCCAGAAACACCAGGTAGGTACTGCCTGAGTCAGAGGGTTGGGGACTTGAAGGGAGACAGGGATGGGGGTGATGGATAAGGGACAGGGATTGGCAGGTTTTAGGGATAGGCGTTTTGGTTGTTTGTTTGTTTTGTTTTTTTGTTTTTTGTTTTTTCTCAAACAGTATCAAGATGCAGAAAGATATTGGAGGGAATGAACAAGGATCAAAGGCCACAAAAACTAAAACCACTCACACTCAGGTTCCTTGAACATTGTGGATTTTGCTATACTGGGGTGTCAAACTGAGGGCTAACAAACATCCAGCAGAAACTGCCTTGAGTTGAAGCAGTCAACTGGAACTTCCCACCGAGCTGTCCACGGATGGGTTTCGAGTGTCCAGCTTCCCAGTCCCACTCCAGGCCTTCTGAGACCTTGGGAGAAACAATATGCACATTGCTGGACACGGCTTATTGTCTAGCTGTTTTCAGGGATACACTTTAGTTCCAACACTCTGGGAGGTGGAGACCGATGAATCCCTAAGTTTGAGGCCAGCTTGGTCTACAGAGTGAGTTCCAGAACAGCCAGGGCTACACAGAAACCTTGTCTTGAAGAACCTTAAGAAAAAAAGAATTTTTATTTTGTTTTGTAGGGGGTGGGGGCTAGAGAGAGGCTTCAGCAGCTAAGAGCACGTGTTGCTCTTCTAAAGGACCTGCCCCTTGGTAGTGGACTATAACCTGGGACTGTGAGTTAAAATAAGCCCTTTCTCCTCTAAGTGGTCTTCGTCAGAATATTTTATCATGGCAAGTAATGAGAACAACATGTATGTAAATATTCATCATAAGCAGATGTATGCATCTGTGTCTACATTAGCATATATATATATATTAACTGATATTGCTACATAATATTTTCAGAATGCTGATTATTAAAAAAATAATGTTCTTTTAATGTTTTTTATTATTAAAAAAATAATGTTAAAAATAATGTTAAACGTAAACAATTTAATTTTGTTGTTTCCTAGAACTAGTAAGTCAGCTACTGCATTTGGTTTGTTTGTTTTACTTTTCAAAACCAGGTTGGTCTTAAATGCCCAATCCTTCTGCTCCTCCCTGGGGTTACTGCCGTGCCTGTCCAGATCTGTGTGTGTTTCTGTAGCCTTTTGCCTACGGATACACAGCAGCATGTGATACTCACCCTGTCTTTCTCTCACTGTGCCTTTCTCATTTAACTATATGGGTGACATCAGTGTAATTTCTATTACTCAAAGAATATTACAGGAGGCTGGAAAGATAGCTCAGGTAATAAAGGTGCTTACCACTGAAGCTGACAACCTGATTTTGGGCCCTGGAACCCATGTGGTAGAAAGACTCCTCCAAGTTGTCCTCTGAACCTCTCTACATGTGTGCACGCACACACACACACACACACACACACACACACACACACAGAGCAGAAAATTAATTGAAAATAACACTATAGAAAGATTCCTGTAATGCTTCAGTGTATGACCATGTAATTAAATAGAAAGTTCTAGAGAAATGCAACATGGAGAATGCTTTCCTTGCCCACCTAGAAGACTTTTGTGTGAGTTTATGATGAACAAGCCATGTCCCCTTTCCTCGCTTGCTTTGTAGGCAGCTTACAACGACAGGGATTCCTATTTCTGCTTTCTTGGTTTTGTTTGGTTGCCCATATTTTAATAGGCCTCAAGTTCATCTTTCAAGCTGAGTAGCTGTATTTTTTTTTTCTTGTTAATGACCATCCGGTATGGCTTTCGGGAAGTAGTAACTGACCGTCTCTGGATCTTGCCTGGGTTTCCAGGAAAGGACCATTTTAAGTATTGTGTTGCTTAAGGAGGAAAATATGTAAATAAAATTCCTTTATGCAAATGCTTTCAGCAAATCTCATTGCCAGCCAAATTCTTGTAAATCATGATAAACAGATGCTACTGAACGAAATGACTAAGTGAAATTAGGGAGACAGATCTATTTATCTTATTTTTCAGTGTTGGGGAGGGAGAAAAAGATATTAACTGAATTTTCTTTGCCTGCATGATGATTAAGGCAGACACCAAGAACTCGATTAATTGATTTCAGCAGGCACAAAGAGGGGACAAACCAGTTGGAGAGCTACCCCTGGAGAGCAAGGTTGCTGTGACAATTTAGTTTTGTTTTATAACCATAGAACCAGGCTTCAGAAGCAATCTAACTAGCATCAAGGTTACTGGGTCTCTGGTTAGTGTTTAACATTTTTACTACTCTTTTTTTTTTTCTTAAGTTAAAAAAAAACTTGAAATAAAATTTACCATTTCAAAATGTAGAATTTGTTGGCTTCCAGTGTGTTCAGGATGCTGTACATGTAACCGCCCTCTCTGTAACTGCAGACCATTCTTCTGTCACTCCCACAAGTCTCTCACTTTGAAGACTGACACTCACCCTACCTCCCTCAGACCACCCCACCTCTGTCTCCCCTCTCCAAGCTCCTGAGCCTTTCTGCCTTCCTTCTCTAGAGTTGCCTGTTCTGGATGTTTGAAATGCACAATATGTCGTGTTCCACCTAGGTTTCTGTTGCTGGGGTAGGCATCATGATTTAAAGAAACTTGGGGCAGAAAGGGTTTGTTTGGTTTTTATGTCCTGCTCCACTACTGTCCAGCATTGAGGGAAATAAAACCAGGAACCGTGGAGGAGAGATGAGCTTACTGATTTGCTCCAGGGACTTGTTCAACTCACTTTCTAGTACAATCCAAGAAAACCTGCTAGCTGGGGGGCAGGTGTGTCACTGCCTTCAGTGGGCTGGTCCCTCCCGCATCAGTCCTTAACCAGAAAAAGCCCTGCAGACACGCTCACCAGCCAGTCAGAAAATGCCCTGCAGACATGCTCACCAGCTAGTCCGAAGGAAGCAGTTCCACTGTTGAACTGCTTCTAGCGCCAGAGGGCTTTGTGTTTGTTTGTTTGTTTTGTTGTGTTGTTTTGTTTTCACCTAGTGTCCTGTTTCTCAGGCTTACAGGTGCTGTAGAATGTATCACATTTTCTATTTCTGTTTAAATGATGTTCTTGGTCTGGTGTGCTGGTGCATACCTTTAATCCTAGCACTCTGGAAACGGAGGAAGGCAGATCTGAGTTCGAGTCCAGCTTGGTTTACAGAGCAAGTTCCCAGACAGGACTACACAGAGAAACCTTGTCCCAAAAACAAAACAAAAACAAACAAACAAACCAAAAAAGCAACAAAAAAAGAA